TTCGCTAGAGTTTTATTTAATCTCTCCATAATTGCTATACCACAATGGGAATATAGACCAATAACTCGAATTACTACACTGTGTTCTTTCATTAGTTGGCTTGTCTGTTCTGCCCATTCTTTCCCATTATCATATTGTAGAAGTGTCAGGTATGTAAGAGGGTTATTGGAATCATCATAAATTTTCTCGAATACTTTAGCAACCTCTGAACTTTTCTTCGATATGAGAGGAACACTCACCTTGAACCTGCTAGCTACATCTATTATGTTAAGTACTGCTATCCATTTTTTATTTTTGTAGTGCTCATATGTAAGAAACAAGAGGTCATACTGATATATACAATTTGGATATGAAATTTTACCATAACTAACCTGTGGAGTATCTTTTGGTGGTGGGCATGTTTTTGCTATTCATTCTGGTTCATAAGCCACTCATATACTTTTTATATAGAAATTGATATCCCTCTGCTTTAAGATCTTTCTATAATTTTCGGGGTTGAAATGATACCCTGTTGGTTAATAGAATAATAACCAGCAAACTAGGGCCAATTCCTCATCAATACTAATTATAATACTAGGTTGGTTCATTTTTGAAACATTTTACTATATTAATAAATTATTATTTGGTAAAGTTTCCAGAAGTGTCAATATATTATAGACTTGTATAATGCCATCAGATACAATAGTATCTCTATCTAGTGAAACAATCAAAAAATTCAAAGCTAGTTTGCAGATAATAAAAAATCGATTCTGTAAATTACAATAGGATCTAGATTTAAAAAAGAGTTACATTAAATATCTCGAAAATAAAATTTTGATTTGAGATGGAGAACTGGATCTATTACGACAGGAAATTTCTGATATTAAAGAATGGTTGGAAAAAACACTTTGAGATTCTGAAAGCAGAGAGAATTATATAGACTATTTGGAAAAGCAGTTAGTAATTTTTCAAGATGAAATAGACAAGCTTAATGAAAAAATAAAAATACTTATTTTATATAAAAA